ACTCCAACTCAAAAATAAATAAATAAATAAATAAATTTTAAAAATAGTACTTTAAGCAGAATACATTAAGCTTTTAATCCTTTAGGGGAAGCCCAAGGAAATATACTTTTCAACCTTAATGAGAACATTAAAATAAAAAATTGGAGCTAGCTTACCTCTTCTTGAATATACTGTAATAGGAATGGAGATGCTCTTAAATTATCAACGGGAATATTGAAGAAGCCCTGAATTTCCTTCTGGTGTAAATCCATAGTAATAAGATGAGTTAGACCTTTGGAAATAAAGTAGACACAAGCACATAGTTTTAAAACAAGTTTCACTGTGTGAAATAAGTACTGCATAAAATACTGTATAAAATAAAATACTATATATAATAAACTACTATTTAAAAATTGCTCTCCCATTAAAAAAAAAAACTCAGCACTTTTGTTTTTCAGAGTTTTTAGTATATGAGATATATGATTTTCATATTAAAGTCTTGAGACCAGGCGCAATGGCTCATGCCTGTAATCCTAGCACTTTGTGAGGCCAAGGCAAGAGGACTGCTTGAGCCTAGGAGTTCAAGACCAGTGTAGGCAACATTGGAAGACCTCCACAAATAAATAATTAAATAAAAATAAAGTCTTGAAATAGCAAAGATGATAATAATACAGAAAATTCTCTTAAACTTTTGTTATAGCAAATTATCTCCTTGAAATTTCCTTAACAGGCAAGGCAAAATCGTAAGATATCAAGACAAACACACCTGCCTAGATATTAAGGAAAATAAAGAGCCTTCACTCTCATTGTGTTCTTAAAGGATTTTGAAATGATCCCAGAAAAGTATAGGGAAAATTTGGTCTGAAAGTTTTTTTTATTTTTTATTTTTATTTTTTGAGTTGGAGTCTCACTCTGTCGCCCAGACTGGAGTGCAGTGGCCGTTCCCGGCCACCGCAGCCTCAACCTGCTGGGCTCTGGCAATCCTTCCGCCTCAGCCTTCCGAGTAGACAGAATTACAGGCATGCGCTACCACGCCCGGCCGATTTTTTGATTTATTGTAGAGATGAGGTCTCGCTGCCCACGGGTCTCGAACCCGTGGGCTCAGGCAATCCACTCACCTCAGCCTCCCAAAGGCGCGGGATTACAGGCTGAGCCACCAAGCCCGGCTGAAAGTTTTTTTAAAGCCAGATACTGTGGCTCAAGTCTGTAATCCTAGACTTTAAGAGGCAGAGATAAGAGGACTGCCTTGGGGGTTCAAGACCAGCCTGAGCAACATGTTGAGACCTCATTTCCACAATAAATCAAAAAATTAGTCAGCTGTGGTGGCACACACCTGTGGTTTCAGCTATTTGGAAGGCTGAGGCAGAAGGATCACATGAGCCCAGTAGGTGGAGGCTGAGGTAGCTGTGAGCGTGCCACTGCACTCTAGCCTGGGCAATGGAGTGAGACTCTGACTCAAATAAATAAATAAATAAATAAATAAAATAAAAAAATTGTAAATAAATAAAATAAAAAATATTTGCTGGTGGCTCACATCTGTAATCCCGGAGCCCACAGGTTTGAGACCAGCCTGGGCAACTTGACGAGACCTGTTCTCTACAATAAATCAAGAAAAATTAGCCAGGTATGGTCGTGTGCATCTGTGATTCCAGCTATTTGGAAGGCTGAGGCAGAAGGATTGCCTGAGCCCAGCAGGTTGAGGTTGCAGTGGCTGTGACCATGGCACTGCACTCCAGCCTGGGTGACAGAGTGAGACTCCTACTCAAAAAAAAAAAAAAAGCAATATTTGCCCAAAAGAACAGGAAAGTGAGCCTGGTAGCCAACCAAAGGGCAAGGCTGGAAGGGCAGATGGAATCTTTCCAGAAGAGTCAATGAGCCAACATGTTCCCTGTCATGGTATTTTCAATGGGGTAGACTGCTGAGGTTGCAACTGGAATTTGGGTTTTTGAAAATTTTACTTTGTTTTTGCCTTTACTGGAATACCATCTTAGAAAGTTCTAGAGTAAGTACACATGTTCAAATGCAGTGATAAAGGAACTTGCTATTTTTTTATTTCTGTGCAAATACTTTGTGATATGTACCTTCTATAATCAAATACACATGTATAAGCACACATACACAAATGTGTCTACACACATACACAATAAAAACTATGGCCGGGCGTAGTGGCTCAAGCCTGTAATCCCAGCATTTTGGGAGGCCGAGGTGAGAGGATTACCTGAGCTCAGGGGTAACCTAGTGAGACCTCATCTCTACAATAAATCAAAAGAATAAGCTAGACGTGCCAGTGCATGCTTGTAATTCCAGCTAATTGGAAGGCTAAGGCAGAAGGATCCTCTGAGGCTAGTAGGTATTGGCTGTGGTGGTCATGAGCGTGCCACTGCACTCCAGCCTGGGTGATAGAGTGAGATAAGACGCTAACTCAAAAAAACTCCAAAAAACCCTCCCAAAATTATGAAGATTACTTAGAAACAAGGGGAAATTCTTAGATGGTACCTGAAAATATCTAACACAATATATATGGTTTACAAAGTAGGCCTATGTGAGCCTGGTGTAGCAACACATGCCTGTACTATATTCAGGAGGTTGGGACAGGAGGATAGTTTGAGCCTAGGAGTCCAGCTTGGGGAACATACCAAGAGCCTGTCTCTAAAAACAAACAAACAAACAAACAAATTAATACATTTTTCTAATTTTTTAAAAATTAAAAAAATATGCCTATCTATCCTGAGAAAAAGAGGCTAAAGAAAAAATAGTTGCCTTGTTTGACTTCGGCAGTGGGGTTCAGAATGACTTCTCCCCTTTCCAGACAATTTTAATATACTATAAGCTGTCATAGCAACACAATTTTAAAACAAAGAAGTTAAAAAAAATAAGTCATTACATTTGTGTTTTAGCTGAGAAAAGAGAGAATTCACTGCATTGTCTTCTCATTATAAACTAATTGCCTTTAAAAGCTGCATCACTATATTTAGTCTCAGGATGCCTCATTTCTTTCTTTTTTTTTTTTTTAGTTGAAGTCTCACTCTGTTGCCCAGACTGGAGTGCAGTGGCATGCTCCCGGCCACGGCAGCCTCGACCTGCTGGGCTCTAGCGATCCTTCCGCCTCGGCCTTCCAAGTAGCTGAAACTGCAGGCACACCCCACTAATTTTTGATTTATTGTAGAGATGAGGTCTCGCCAAGTTGCCCGGGCAGGTCACGAACCCGTGGGCACAGGGAATCCACTCACCTCGGCCTCCCAAAGCACTAGGATACAGGCTGAGCTACCGAGCCTGGCCTAGTCTAAGGATCCTAATTAAAATAACTGAATATTTTGAAATTTCTAAAGTAAAATTAAAACACCCAGGCCCCCAACTGTCAATTATCTGCCATTTTTACTTACCAGCTTTGCACATCATGGAAGCCAGCAATTTCGAGACGATGGAGCCTCGTTTTCTCATCTTGCACTGCTTGCTGTAAGGAAAGTAGGGGATCACGCCAATGATGCTCTTGGCACAAGAGGTCTTGCATGCATACACCATGATCAGGAGCTCCATGATGGTGGTGTTTACATCCCTGCAGCCAAGACACAGAGTTCCATCAAGGGATCTGCAATAATATCTCCCTGTTCCAACAAGCATCAGCCTCCAAAAGACTTAAGGCGTAAGACATGAAAAGGAAATCAACAAGGTCTTTCTTCTCAGGTCTCTATCAGCTTCCCCACATTCACTCTCAGCCAATGACCCTACTTTCTTTTTTTTTTTGAGTCGGAGTCTCATTCTGTCGCCCAGACTGGAGTGCAGTGGCCGCTCCCGGCCACCACAGCCTTGACCTGCTGGGCTCCGGCGATCCTTCTGCCTCAGCCTTCCGAGTAGCTGGAATTACAGGCGCGCGCTACCACACCTGGCTGATTTTTTGATTTACTGTAAAGATGAGATCTCGCTGCCCAGGCGGGTCTCGAACCCGCGGGCTCAGGCAATCCACTCACCTCAGTCTCCCAAAGGCGCGGGATTTCAGGCTGAGCCACCAAGCCCGACTAGAAAGACACATTTGAAAGAGAGAGTGGACCTGCCTGGGCAACTTGGTGAGAACTCATCTCTACAATAAATCAAAAATTAGCCGGACGTGGTAGCACGCGTCTGTAGTTCTAGCTACTTGGAAGGCTGAGGCAGAAGGATCGCTGGAGCCCTGCAGGTCGCGGCTGCGGTGGCTGGGAGCGGCCACTGCACTCCACTCTGGGTGACAGAGAGAGACTC